ATTATTTCTGGCTTAGAGAGGTAAAGGAGTGCGTTGGCGGCCGGAGATTGAACCCCGAACCATGTTCATGGTCGGCGAGCGTACCAACCGCTACGCCACCAACGCACCAAAAATAAATAAATAAATAAAGTGATACAGAAATATAGTGAGTAATCCAAGAGGAGAATGGACGAAAAATGTAATGTGACAGACACCTCACTGGAACGATTATTGACAACAGTGATGACCTCATGGTTAACTAGGGCTTTCCGGTATCCAGAAAGCTTAAATATACATATTAAAACTGCTGTTTCATTACATAATAAATCATATTTAATATTTACGTTTTACATTTTCTATAAAATTATAAATTATTTAAATCCCAGATTATGAATATGGATACTGAGCATGATGATTTGCATACGACGACAAAGACTGATTATGAAGATAGGGTCCAGTAGCTGAGGGATGTAAGTATTGTCCATTATGTGATACTTAACACGGCGGGATTAATTTAAATAATTTATAATGTTACAATATGACTCGGTGTTCAAATTATTCCAGGAAGTTCATAACACCTACGATCTGGAAATTTATAATTTTCTATAAAAGTCTAATCAACTACAAAAACACACAAACGGTAATAGTCACACCCTAGGGTGTTTATAAGATTACAAAACATTGTTATATCTGTAAACAAACTCTCCTCTCTCAATAAATATGTCATCGATCCACCTCATTGACGTTATGCTAAAAATCAAGTTGCTGTGATTCCCGAATGGAACGGAGATTCTTCACTGACATAAGAAAGCCATGATGAGCGCACATCAGATTGAAAGAAGTTGCTCTTGGTGTAAAATTTTAAAGCACTCTGGATTTCGGTTTTGACTTTTTTGATGTAGTGATGTGAAATCAAAATAATACCCCAGCGTTTAAAGTCAGATTGTTAGTTAGAGTAGAGTTAGAGACGAATTATCAGTTTGGTATGCGACTATGACGATAGACACAAATATTAAAGAAACTGAAGCAAGGGAATCAAATGGATATGATACAATTTTTGAGACTGTCCATCAATGTTCTCAATACCAGTCTGTATGCATAAAACTTTCTCATGCAACATCTGTTGTGATTGCTCTTAAAAAAGTGGAGGAATTTACGTCTTTTGGAATTTACGAAACGGTAATGAACAGAAACGTCTAAAAATTAGTCGATTCTCAATTCTTAATAGTTCACAACAAAAACGAACACTCAAAATCATTTCAATTTATCTAATTTTAAGTGAGTGAGTTATATATATATATATATATATATATATGATTTATAGCACACTATATGCTAATTCCATTCTGACTAACTAAGCTCTAACTAAACAGAATGTGTGAACAAAGAAAGCACGAAAATACTGGTAGAATAGAAAGATATCCTGGCTGTTCAAGAATTATCTTCGGTCAGAGTACTAGGGATTACTAGAGAGTTGTCTCATTACTGTCTCAGATGTTCAGCGGTACGCATTCATGAAACCCCTTGGGATCGATTCCAGGACTTTCAGGTTACTAGACAAGCTTACCGATCACTCAGGGACCACTGGGATGGAATGTAATGAATGACCTATCATATCAGTTCTACTTTATGCCAATTCGTGATATGTAGCATCTTCGGTGATTATTTATCCTCACACCCAACATAATGGAACTCACTGGTTACAAGTTAATACAAGAACAGCAGGCAATTTCATCCCGGACTCAGTTAATTGTGAGCATCAGATGAGTTATTTTCAAGATTCTCGTCCCTGGTAGTTTCATGAATGCGTACTACTGATGGGCTGATAGTAAACGAGGAAAAAATGGCTTCCCAGTACTCCACAGTTTTTAACGGTTCGTTAACTGATATCCATCTGTGATCAAACTTGAAACCAATTTATCTCCTTTCAAACCAACACATGAGGACAAGCAGAGCTAATGTTTATTTTTATTTCACAACTTTTTAAAGCTGCTAACAGCTTGATATTATATCCTTTGATGAGTGACTAGTTAGTAACTATAGTACCATGTATCTAGTTCTTTATTTGGTGAAGACTGAATTCTATCAGTCAAGTTTGCAATGTAGCCACCATTCTAGGTGTTTTGCCATCACAATGCACTGTGAATTGTTGTTATTAGATGGTTGGAGGTAATCGGAAGGAAGTCGTGTCTAAACGTAGGTTTCATGGTTGTTGGTGGGCACTCTCCAGTCGGCAAGACCTCCGTGCAATTCTCAAGGAACTCATGTCTCTCCTGAGATTCAAATCTGTGTCACTCAGTGAGTGCTGAAGTCAGAGATCTAACAAGTAGAGTTTATTTTTCCTCAATATGATGAAGTATTCGAAAGATGGCAGACGGAGTGAAAAGAAATGATAAGTAAGCATAAAAGTATTACGTAAGCAAACAATTAATTAAGTTAGAAGACTAATAATGAGTTCATTTCAGCGAGTGAAAATCAAAGTGATGGGACGCAACAGAAAAATGATATCTAGTCACCATGGTCCACTGACAAAGAAGGCTCTCGAGTGGTTGTGCCACAGGATGATATTGCATACTGGTCTCTTCTTTCAGGAGGTAGGGATAGGTGTATTCGGTCCTCCTGAATACCCATGCCCAGTCAATGGATGTGTATTTATATGAATCCCGACCGATAGTTGCTATGTCGATGCGGTGGTCTGGCTTGCATATAGTAATGACCCAACAAGCTACTCCGGTTGGATCTGATGTTCCTTCAAGTCCTACCACGTAAGGAAGAATGTTAAGGTAGTCATTAGACAGAAAGCAGTTACTGGCATAGTTTAAGATTTCTCTGTGGGCAAAGTAGTACTGCTGGCGAACAAGGATATAACGGCCTCAATCAGGTGTCTCCTTCAGGTGAGCAGCATGACACCTATACTGTCTAATCACTCTGGAGAGAGGGGTTCGGAAAAGGTCGATCTCAGAAATTGTACATGCCTACTCACCCTACGGTGGTCTGTAGCCAGCTGTAGGTTACTGATGCAGAACCAAACCTAAAAGCCAACACAAACAGGCCATGTGTAACTAGCCTCAAGCAGTTGTCTCCTGGGTTCTGCAGTCACGCAACACTAATTCTGTTTCAGGTACCCGATGAAAAAATCAACTTCCACGTTGTGGGTAGTCGGGAAGTTACAACTGCCCATCATCCTCCTTTAACTAGGTCACCGTCATCAATATCTTTTTTCCCTACTACTGTTAGTACTATTCTGCAGTCTAGTCAGTCATCTATCTTCCGTTCATTCTGTGACCATAAGCAGCAACGAGAGCCAGAAAAACACTTCCGATAGTCTCTTGAAGTCACACTGCCAACTTCATATTGGAGTATTTAACATGACTCTGCCAATAACTGTTACCTTGTCGTGGTGGTCGGACTTGAATACCGTAATGACCCAACATGCTAAACTGACTGGGACTCTGTCCCTGCAGGTCCTACCATATCAGGAAGGTTGTTTGGATAGCAGTTAAACTAAAAGCAGTTACCATGGGGTACATGGGCTCCAGTATCCAATCCGATCAAATGGCGTTTGAACCCATTTGGGTCACGGGCAACCATGGGAATGCAGCTCCTGACACTGCCTTGTGGATTAGACTCCAAGTCAAAGGCTCGGGGGGTGGTCCCTTAATAAAACCACCTGTTTCGGTCTGGGCGCCCGGGCAGTATGTCAGCCCTCACACAATGAATTGAATGAAGCAACAAACAACCAATGAAACTTATCACGTGCTATTACACGTGTTACAATTTCCTTCTCTCTTCCCTTCCCGATGATAGTTAACGAATACTATTTGAACTTGTTAAGCATGACTATTTTCCTTCCAGATGAAGTTCTTTATCCGTTCTCTGCTGATATACATTTTTTTCTCTTCTTTCTTTTTTTCTTTTGATCTATGTTGGTTTATTATTATTGTGTGGCGCATCCTTCTTGGTGCCATATTGTACCAAGTTTTTATGCGTTTAAATAAATAAAATAAATAAATAAACTATAGATCACTAAAAAGGCCACACGGGGGTGTATCCGTATCCATAGTTGATAAGATACACGATAAGCAGAACTAATTATTGGTATTCTTCTTTTCTCCACTGGTTAGCCAGGCTGGACAGTACTCGAAAATACGTGTGTACAGAGTTGAATTCAATGTAGATCACTGAAAAAGAAATAAATAAACTGGTGAGTATTCATCCACTTGTCAAAGAATCAGAAAATGATGACTGACTCTAAAGATGGTTGCATAAAGTGTTTGTTAACTATAATAATAAATATGGTTGTCAAAACTTTGAGAAATGATTTGTCCCAAAGAAAGACTCATTATAGCGATTTTTTTCCTTCACGTTCCCCCAGTGGAACATAGGGCTTCAAGCTAGGAACTTGAAGTTTCTGTAACAGTGTTTATTTTACAGGATGGGATTGCCAGCCTCATGCCGAACCTTTCCTTTTTACCAGCATTGTTTCTGGCTCAGCGAGGTAAGGGACTTCGTCGGTCGGGGATCGAACCACTAACCACATTATGCGTGTTTGACGGGCATTCTACCGCTAAGCCACCGACGCACATGACTAATAAACTAGTATAATCATATTACGCCTGTTTAACAAAAATGAAATTACAAAATTCACTATTTGTGTTACGTAACTCTATGCAAAACTTACTAATTTTCACCTGTTTAGTTAAAATAACCATATTCAATTGTAGTTTTGTTTAATGTACACATGCATACAAAAGAAATAACTCATATATATTTGCAATTGTACAGCTAAGAAAGTGAATTCACCGAAAAGAGATTTTTCACTGAACTACGTGTTTTGTTATCATTAATGCCTAGATGGGGATTATTCAAGAATTAAAATTCAGAAAGGCAATATTTCGAAGTTTACAATTAGTTTTAGTTTTATTGTGATTTTAAATTTCAGTAACAATGAGGTCGCTTTTTCTTTTTTGAAGTGACTTTGTTGCTAGTTGTCTCACGTCCAAAGTTTCCTCTTTTTATAGGCCAACAACAACAAGTCAGAATGGGAAAAGCAAGATAGATATCATCATTACGTCAAAATCAGTGAGAAAATCTACTGTACTTTTGGCATATGAAACAAGATCCGGATCTTCAACACTATACGCCAATCATGTCGGTGCTTCTAATTTTTTTTTAGACACTTGGCGTGTGTGTATGTAACTAAAATCATTCCCAACAGATCTGTGCAAATTTTCACCAATAGCTGTCTCTGCTCAATATCGAAGACTAATTGGTTAGTCGACCAGAGAGGACAAGCAATACGAAACTCTGACAGTGCAGGGAACCATCACATGCCAGATAGACCTTCAAATGGAACCTGAATGGAAATGATAACTTGGAGGAAAATTTTGAAGGTGTAAAGATGAAGAAATAAAAACTTGTAGAGAGTCAAATGACAAGCTGAAAATGACGACAGAGAGCAGAAGACGTTCAAGTTGTGCTTCTGAAGTCGTGTGTTCCATGTTTCTGATTCTGAAAAATATATCAACATATTCTGAATGATCAAACCTTTGTTGTGGTTTGAATTCCTAACAGTTCTTTGGTCCTATAGAACAAGCATATTGGAGATCAGCGGGTAATATACGCGGATTATCACATAATGATGTACTCATCAGCAACCTTAGTCTCCTGAACTAATATTCAACTTAGCTGGTGGTCGCACTTAAATCACAAATTAGTAGAAGTTAAAAGTCATGTGCCATTGGGTCGGATCCGATTGGCTGAACGGTCTACAAGGTTGCTGGGAGGACCTGGGTCCAAACCCTGGCAGTGGATGCATACTGACGATGAGTCCTAAACTAGTGGACGAAACAGCTAGCAGTCCAGTACTCATTACCTGGTTTTCAATGGTTCTCTAACTGATATCGTTCCGTGGACAAACGTGAGAAATCAAATCAAATCCCTACGAACTAACACTTGAATGTTCAACTTAACTTTAAAATAATCGTTAATAAGCGATCAGTTGTAACATTACGTGATGGTCACACCGTTTCATTTAATCCTTAGGGTCCTGAGTGAAATGCAAGGCTTCAAGTTTGGGCTTTGAAGTCTCTGCAGTTGTGATGCTGTTTTTAGTGGGGTGGGATTGAAGTGTTCTGAAGTACATTTGCCAGACACCTAAATGACACAGGTCAGGTTTTTAAAATAATCAATACACAAAGGAAAGTATGGTTACTTCTAAATAAGGCAAGAACAACAGTGGTTTGTGCAGAGTAATATGGTACCATCATTTATTTGGTTGGCTTCTCGTCAGCTGCTTACAGCCTAAATAAATTATAAGGTTTAGGTAGGGAAAAGTTTTAACATACTTGCAAATTTTATATGTTGTCAGTTGACAGAAAGTTCCACAATTAGTAAACAATGCTCAGAAAATTGCGCTTATATAGTTTTTACACATGCAGTTCAAGTTTAAACAAAATAAATGTATGCATATAATGATAAAGCAACGCTATTACCAGACATCTTGTCGACACGGATCTTGAGGTGGAAATCGCGAAATCCTTCAAAATTATCAATAGACAAAGGAGCTCCATTCTCCTCAAGTTTGCCGAAGCAATTTTTATCAAACGCTTAATACCAGATTTATGTGTTCAGAGAGAAGCAGTTATTAGTCTTTCCTTGCCCTGGTAACTGGATGTATTTATTCTCTCGTCTGATTGCGTAATCTTTGCCTTTAACCTCACCCCCTTTTTATTTTTTTTTAGATTTACAGCTTGATTCCACACTGTATTTTTGGTACAAGTATGGAATTTTCAGCATGGATATCGGTAGCCCAAATTTCGCAGGCCAATCATAGATATCAGGTGTGCGCCGGCGTGGGCTCGAACCCCGGACCATGTGCATGATCGGCGACAGTCCTAACCACTGTGCCACCGACACAGTAACTTTTTTTGCCTCTTGTTTCTATGATTTGAGTTCAACTCAGTACATTGTTACCTAACTCATTAGTGACTCTGCACCTAACGCACATTTCATCTTTATTAGGTAACTCCTTTACCATTGTATGCATGCATTTATTTTGTTTAAACTTGAACTGCATGTGTAAAAACTATATAAGCGCAATTTTCTGAGCATTGTTTACTAATTGTGGAACTTTCTGTCAACTGACAACATATAAAATTTGCAAGTATGTTAAAACTTTTCCCTACCTAAACCTTATAATTTATTTAGGCTGTAAGCAGCTGACGAGAAGCCAACCAAATAAATGATGGTACCATATTACTCTGCACAAACCACTGTTGTTCTTGCTTTATTCAAATTTATCAAGGGGAATAAATGCATGGTTGCCTCAGTGCTCAGAAGCTATTGTTATCAAAAGACTTAGACACAACTCATTTTAAATTATTTAAATTAATCCCGGCGTGCTACGAAAATCAAAACAATATTTTTCTTAACGTTATACTGTGTAAGCCACAGCTTCTTCAGCAGATTTATTTGGATAAAAATCCGATTTAATAAGTAATAATAAATAATTTATAATTAATGAATCAATCTGATTCGGCGTTCAAATTATTCCAGGAAGTTCGTAACACCTACTGTCTGGAAACTTATAAACTTAGACACAACCTCTGCATACAAAAACATAGCGTGAATGTCTGTGTGCTTTTGTGTTTGGTTCTGTTGTATAATTAATATTCAACTTCATTTTGATTTTCACCTTCCCTGAGATGAACTCACTATTAAAGTTTTCAAATCTACTAAATTATTTTAATCTATGCTACAATTTTACTTTACTAATCATCTCCGTCCTCCTGAACTTTCCATCAAAATATGAATAATCAAGTGTTGATTTGTAGGGATTCGATTGGTTAGAGGATTTCATCATGAGCTGACATTGGTTAGAGACTCATTGGAAAACCACCACTGGAGTACTGGACAGCTGCTTCGTCCCAGTTTGGGACTCTTCATCAGCACGCATCCACCACAGGAGGTTCCAACCCAGGACCTTATGGTTACAAGGCGAGCTCGTAGATCAATAAACCACTGGGACCCAATCCAATGGCCAGTTCATGAATTCGAACTTCTTTCGATGCACGACATAGAGCGACCACTAGCCAATGCCTTCGGCGAGTATTTGTCCTCCCACCCGACCTGCTGCACCCGACAAATACTCGCCCAAGACATTGGCTACTGATCGCGCTATATCATTAATCAGCAGAAGTTAGAATTCATGGGCTGGCCATTGGATTGGGTCCCAGTGGTTTATTGATCTACGAGCTCGCCTTGTAACCATAAGGTCCTGGGTTGGAACCTCCTGTGGTGGATGCGTGCTGATGAAGAGTCCCAAACTGGGACGAAGCAGCTGTCCAGTACTCCAGTGGTGGTTTTCCAATGAGTCTCTAACCAATGTCAGCTCATAATGAAATCCTGTAATAAATAATATGAATAATGCGTCGGTGGCACAGTGGTTAGGACTCTCGCCTACCATGCACATATTCCGGGGTTCAAGCCCACGCCGACGCACACCTGATATCTATGGTCGGCCTGCAAAATTTGGACTATCGATATCCATCCTGAAAATTTCATACTTGTACCAAAAATACAGTGTGGAATCAAGCTGTAAATAAAAAAAAAGCAAGACTTTCGTACAATCTTCAAGGAACTCATGTCCCTTTTGAGATTCGAACCAGTTAGTGTTGAAGTCAGAGACGTTACCACTATTTGGACTCGCGTGAGTGATCTCCTGTAAGACTGACTGTTTTGGAAACTAGTTAGTAACTAGTATCATGTGTCTAGTCGTTTTTTTGGTGCAGACTGAATTCTGTCAGTCTATAAGTTCATAGTGTGATCACTATTCTAGTTGGCTCGACATCACGGTGCATTCTGAATTGTTCATATTGGATGGTTGTAGGTAATCAGCTAGACAAAGGAATAGACACATGATTTCAGTTACTAACTAGTGTCCAATGGTGCAATGGTAGCACAGAGGTAAAATACTCTCCAAGCACGCAAGTGGTTCGGGGTTCGATTCCCAGCTGACGCACACTCCCTTACCTTGATAAGCCAGTAATAAAACTAAGAAAGAGTGAAGGTTGGGCATGACGCTAGCAACCCCATCCTTAAGAATAGATACCACTGCCACCGAAAACTCGAAGCTCTAGCTTGAAACCCTATGTTCGACCAGAAACGTAAAGGATTAAAATATAATAATTACTACTGTCCAATCAAATTATGAAATAAAGTTAGTCATACAGGAACTCAGTCACGCGGGCCCAAATACCCAGCTCACTGGTGACTTCTCCGACTTTAGCACTCACTGGATGACACGGATTCGAATCTCAGAAGGGATATGAGTTCCTTTAAGACTGCAGGAAGATCTCGCTGACTAGTGAGTGTCAGCTAACAAGCGTGAAAACTACGTCTAGGTAATTCCATTATGGGTAAATTTTGTTTTGATAAAGTCTCACAGCGTTATACAGTAATTCATACGAACTGTGATCAAGATTTGATCGGATAGTTGCAAAATAATTGAGCGCTGATAACTTTATAAGTTATACAGTAATGTTTACTGATAAACAGTAAACATTACGCTGTGAGACTTTATCAAAACAAAATTTACCCATAATGGAATTACACTCTACCACAGTGTACAAGTTTTATTCTTATACGTCTAGGTAGGACTTCCTTCCGATTACCTACAACTAGCTAATATAAATTTAGATAAAATTTAAAAGTGTTAAAAAACATCAAGACAAAGTTCAACCAAAATATGAAACATCACAAATAACGATAATGCTAAGTAAGAAGGAGGAATAAAGACTGCAATAAAATCTTATCTAGATAAGGTTAAATGGACATTGATCGTTCACTGGTAAAATACTTGAACGTGATACAATTTCCAACCAAAGTATTCCTAAAACCCTCTCTTAGTTTACAAGCTGATAGTAAGTCTTAGAAAGGGTGGGGGATGTGAGGTGTGAGGTTAGCAATCCCATCCTGTAAGATCAATACTATCAGAGCTACTGTCATTTCAAAGCTTGAAGACCTTATGCTCCATTTTGAAGGAGTAGAATGAAAAAGGAAGATGAGCGTACAGGTTTTACCATAAATCTTTTCAAAGAGTATCTATCAAGTATTGGCATCAGCATCAAACCTTTAGGAATTAACGTCGTACACAAACCAACAAAGTCACTTCACTCAATTCTATGTCAACCAAAAGACTCAACAGCGAAAGAAGATAAAACCATCATCATCTACAAAATAAATTGTGACAACTGCGAAAAACACTACATTGGCCAAAGTGGACGTCCCCTTCGTCTTCGTATCCACGAACATAAACTAGCCGTCAAAAGACATGATATCCACTCCCTCATATCACTACATACAGACAAACACGGACATCAATTCGACTGGGACAACCTTCAAATATTAGACAGAGGAAACAAAAAGAATGCTAGAGAATTTTTAGAAGTCTACCTGGCATTCCAGTGAATCATCAATCAATAGACACATCGAGATAGACAAAATTTATCAACCGATAAGAAAGAAACCTCACACACACAAACAA